TGCACCCCGGGTCCAAGCTCGCCGTGCTGGCAGAGATCCCGGGTGTCCCAGGAGTCCTGGTTTCGTGATATCAGGCGGCCCCGGCTTCCCTGCGGCCCTCACCACCCCCACAGCCAAAGGCAGCGTGGGGCTGGGCACAGCCGGGGGGGCCAGCGCAGCCCTGGACGTCACCCCGAGCACCCCAGCACTTTCGGGAGGAGCAGAGCAGATGCGTGGGTTCCTCCCACAAAGAGGCATCCAAGGCTGTTTTCCCACGCACCCGTAAAGCTCAGCTCCAGGGATGCTGAGCCCTGGAAATTTGGGGGTGAGTAGTTTCAGGACGGTCGCTCCCGGCTCTGCTCTGGTGAGCTGGGATGTCCATGGGCACTTCTGGTTCACCAGCCAGCCCGATCTCCTCCCTCACCACCGTGGGGAGAACCAAGGGCTGCCAAACCCCCCACCCAAGGCTCTGCCACTCACTGCCTCTCCGGGCTCCAGCCACCAAGGGAAGGCCATTTTCCCATAGCCATGGATGTGCAGGAGCTTGGACAAAGTCTTTCTCCGCTCCTCTCTCCCCAGCTGACCCTTCCCAGACCTACAGGGCAGATCTCATCCTGCCGGGCTGCCTGGGAGGCCGACGCTGCAGCTCCTGCCCTCCAGCAAACCCAACAGGACTCGCGGCGTCAGGCTGCCGCCTTTGCTCCGCGGGCTGCCCGCGGTCCCCTCACATATCCCATCCACACAGAGCCCTTACGGGGGGGTAACGGGGACTGCCAGGGCTCAGCTGGGGGACGAAATCCTGCCCTGGGCTGGCTCAGCAGTCGGTGGGGGTGACATTCCCACAAATCACTCACGGCCGGGCTGTGGCGATGGCAGCATGGCATCCCCTGCCACAAGATCCCCTGGCACCACCGGCTGTGGGGCTCGGAGGGCTCCGGTCCGACCTCGTAGAGTGGTACCATCACCACCAGCCTCCGGGCTGCAGGGTGCTCGGCCACCAGCCAACCATCTGGGTCGTCTCTTGGGTGGCAGGTTTGGGTCCCACAGCCCCTTTTCCAAAGGCTGGCAGCCCCCCATGTAGGCAGCAGGGAGGGATGGGTGCTGCTGGGTGCAATGCGGCTCAGCTGTCTCTACAGGGAGTTGGACCACATTCGGGTGCTGGTGTGCGGACACGTCTGGCCGACCGGAGCAGGGCCGTCCATGGGGAGCAGTAACCAGCAGGGTAGCAGAAGGTCACAGCCATCCCACTGCAGTTTGGGCAGGGGATGCCCAAAAAGTACCTCTGACCTCACCCTGCTTCTCCTGGGCCTTGCCCCACCACCTCCTCCAGCCCACCTCATGCCCTCCCTCTGGATGTGCAGCCCCAGCGACTCCTGTCCTGGTTCCCCCAAGCCAACAGCCTCTGCTAACGCTGGGGACAGTGGTCTCTGTCGCTCCCTAAGCCATTCTCAGGTGAAGGATACAACTTCAGCAGGCACGCAGCGCCGATTGCAAACCCTCAGGGCAAGGTCTCTGTCCCAGGACACTGCCCCTGCCGTCACCTGGGACCCTTGGGGCTGTCACCTGGGACCCTTCGGCCTCTTCTCCCAGGCAACCGGTGACAGGACAAGAGGACATAGTCTGAAACTGCACCAGGGGACGTTCAGGCTAGAAATGAGGAGGCATTTCTTCACAGAAAGGGTCGTTAGGCATTGGAATGGGCTGCCCAGGGAGGTGGTGGAGTCCCCAGCCCTGGAGGGGTTTAAGAAAAGACTGGAGGTGGCACTTGGTGCCATGGTCTAGTTGACATGGGGGTGTTAGGGCAAAGGTTGGACTCGATGGGGCCAGAGGTCTCTTCCAACCACATCGATTCTGTGATTCTGTGAAAGCTCAGCAGAGACCCACCAGCCTGGAGAAGAGAGGGCTCAGGGAGACCAAACTCCAGTTCTCCACTCCCGAGAGAAGGGTTGCGGAGAAGGGAGACGCAGCAGTGCATGGCGAAAGGACAAGAGACAACGGCACAGTGCCACAAGGGAAACTCTGATGCACATAAGGAAATAGAAAAACAGAGGGTGTACGGTGCAACACTGTGACAAGACCCATAGTGGTGGGACCTCCATCCTTGGAGGGTTTCTAAACCTGACTGGACACCAGAGGCTCTGAACAACCTGACCTCTGGAGCTAGTCCTGCCTTAAGAAGGAGGTTGGACTCCAGAGCTCTGCAGGGCCTACGTCTTTCTGTGACCCCATGAAACCCAAATCCAGCATTTTCTCCTGGCTTTGACCAGGCATCCAGAAGCAAATGGCCTCTGTGGGGTCCATCACACTTGTGATATGTCAGTACCTCTCTTCTCTCTGACACAACCTCTACAACTCTGGAAAGAGGAGACTAAAGACTTGTTCCAGCTTTATTGACTAAACTGCGTTGCTGGGGCTACAATCCCTGGCTCTGGCACATCCAGTTGAAATGCCGCAGCAGCACAGCATCCACCGCACGCTCACGGAGGTCTCCACGCCGAGGGTGGTACGTGAGCCCACTGTGCTATAGCTCCCGACCCACCACCGCATCCCTGAGCCTGGGCTGTCTGCTCCACACGCCAAGTGCCATCTGCTATCGCCTGACCAAACCCCAACCACACACCCCAGAGCAGTGGGACCAGTTAGAATTCGGGTCCCAGGCTGGGAAATCTGAGAGGCAGGAGATTTTTGGAGATGTTTAAAGAGCTTGCTCCTCATCTCAGTTTCAAAAACGTCGTGTAAAAACCGAGGGTGTGATGAACGGCAGAAAGTGCTTAAGTTGATAAAGGAGCCCAAGTCCTGCCCCACAAAAGGATTTCTGCCTCTGTTGTGCTTCTCAAAACACTATCCATCTCATTTACTCAACCACAATGTTTATAACTTTTAAAAAAAACCCAAAACTAAGTTCCCTGCGGAGTTCATAACGCTAAGCTGCAGCGAGGCTGATCTTGTGGGTATGTCACACCGGTCCAACGAGAGAATCACAGAAAGAAAGTAAAGAGTTTAGATGAAAACTAATTAAATCTGGGAAGCTGCCAAAGTGACGGCTTAATGATCCACAGTGCTGCTAAAAATCCAGGAAGTGGGTGAAAAGCTGTTAGTTATTCAGCACTGCTGGGCACGCCTGTTTGGAGAGGTGCCACGTAAAAAGCACTGATAGGGGTTTCGCTAGGGCGTGCACATGTGTTCTGCTACCGACACACCCAAGAGAGTCTGTCCTGGGCCTCCCAGCATCAACCGCTGCTTTTGAAATGGTTATCCACCACCGGAGCAGGGGGAGAGCCCGGTCCAATCGACCCACAGAGCACAGCTGGACACAGCTGGGCCATGTCAAATTGCACCGAGTAGTTCCTGCCTTCGTGGTTTAATTGCAAACCACGATTGCAAACATTTCCCGTCCTCCCTCTACCTCCTGACCTCCGGCTCTGGTCACCCAGAGCACCTCCTGAGCCCCAGATGGGGAATAAACTCTTCGGAAATGCCAGGCGTGGGTCAGCTTTGACGTTTATTGCTTGCTCGGTGACACGGCATGGCACAGCTGAGCACGCATCCCGGCGGGATGGGCAACGCGGAGCAGAACGCTTTGGGCGCACGGGCCTCGCTGCGGGTGGGTGTGAGCTGTCTCCCCGCCGGCACCCACACCAGCAGGACCCGATGGGGATGATGCTGGGATTTCCACAGCTTCGGGGTGCGCTGGGTCAGGGCGGGGAGGAAGGGGCTCGTGCTGTGAAGCAGCGGGTGGTTATTGGTGATGGTCAGGATGCGGGAAGGGTCAGGCAGCACAGGCTCGCACGGGCCTCGCTGCGGGTGGGTGTGAGCTGTCTCCCCGCCGGCACCCACACCAGCAGGACCCGATGGGGATGATGCTGGGATTTCCACAGCTTCGGGGTGCGCTGGGTCAGGGCGGGGAGGAAGGGGCTCGTGCTGTGAAGCAGCGGGTGGTTATTGGTGATGGTCAGGATGCGGGAAGGGTCAGGCAGCACAGGCTGGTATGGACAAGCCCTGGGCGAGCGGAGAGCTCGGTTCCCAGTCCCTCACTGCGAGTGGACGAGTGCCCCGGCGCCTTGCCCAAAGCCAAAGCCCTTGGGACCAAAGTTCTTGGCGTAGCAACCTGCAGAGGATGGGAAGGGAGAGACGAGTAAGGCCGGGAGCTGAACGTGAGCAGATCCTCCTCTCAAAGCAGGCACTGCCTAAACAGGACAACGTTTGCTGTATTTGTTGGGCAAACAGAGACCCCTCAGGCAAAGGATGAAATGCTCCGGCTCCGCGGCCAGCCGGCACAGCCAGTCCCCATACGCAGCTGCTGGGGCCACCACCCCCCTCAAACCTCAGTCCCATCCTGGTTCCCTGCATGGGGGGTTTCGCCCCTTGCCTCCACCCTTCGGAGTCCAGGACGAGCCAGTGAGGAAGGCAGCACTCACCTTTGCAGTAGATCTCCCCGTCTTTGTCTGCCAGGGTGGTGGACTCCAGGCTTTTGCCACACTTGGCACAACGGAAGCAGGACTTGTGCCAGGACTGTGGGACAGGAGCAGAGCCCGGTCAGACAACACCCGGGGACAGGGATGCAATGCTTTGGCTACCAAAGGGGATCACTTTTCTGTTTCTGACCCAAAGTGGTTGGCAAAGAGGTCTGAACGGGATGAAAGCTTTTCTCTGGAAAGGGCCGTCCTCCCAGCCCCGGGGGGAAGATACAGAGGAAACATCAGATGTGGTCACTGCTCCCATGGCAATCTGGTTTCAGAGAGCTTTCACCCCCACTTGCAGAAGTCATTTGTACAATAATCTGCACAATAATTTGTAAGGAGCGATCACCCCCCTTTTTGGAGATTGTCCTCTCTCGAGCAGCGTGATAAATCTCCCGAGTTATCCAGCTGAGATCCTCTGTATGCGAGCCGGGGGGGTGGCAGCGGGGTTGGGACACCTGCCCCTACACAACTACAGCTCCAAGGAAGGCAGCAAACGGATATTAAGAATGCAGAAATCAGCCAGTATTTAAAAATAACCCCCCCCCACGGCTCTGCCAGTCCTCTGGGGATAAATGAGCTCACAGCCTTTGAGCAGACCTAGAGTAGCCAGTGCTGCTTACAGAGGAATTTAAATAAACACTTCGAAAAACATGAAACCTTTTTTGGAAGAAAATGTGAAATTAGGGGGCTGGAGGAGGAGGGAGCAGATGGAGTCATCCAGCAAACATTAGCACATGAAATACATGCTCTGGAATCCTCTCCGGGTTTCATTGACCCTAATTGCTTTGCCAGCTTTGGTTCCCCGTAAACATCGAGGCCAGAAGCCTACCAGGTAGCTCAGATCATAATTTTAAGGGTAAATTTGGCTTCTGACCCTGGGCTGCCCCTCAACGTGTCCATCACAAATCCCTGCGCTGCCAGCTAGGGTATGCCGATGCTGGGAGGCCCTTTCTGTTGACTTGATGCCTCTTCCTTGCTCTGGGGACAGAGGACAAACACAGAAACCCCAGGGAGGACGGAGCTCTGCAGGGGTCGGTGAGTGGCCCAGTGTCACCAGTGACACTGCGAGGCTCTCCCAGCACGGCCATCCCATCCCCTGCAGCACAAAGCCAAGCAGCCTGACCCGGGTGCCTTGGCAAGCTCCACGCATGTACCTGACCTCAGAGGGAAGGCTGGTTCGGGGCAGGGACCTCACCCGGGGTCCCAGGGCTGACAGCGCAGAAGGTGTCCCCGTGCCTTACAGATGGCTTCCCAGAGCTGGGCTAGGATGAAGCCATAGCTTGGGATGCAAAGGACCCTGGTGAAGTGAGGAATTTGACATAGGAAGTACCAGGGCTGTTGCAGAGTGTCCTTAACATCTGATCCTGAGCAGATCCAGTCCACCAGCACAACAGCCCAAAAGAGACGCACCCAGCCCGTGCTCACACCTCCAACCACCTCGCCCTGCCTATGGGCAGTGCTGACCGCTGGAATTCATTCCCTGTCCTGAATTTGGGCTGCGGCATCCCAGCCTGAGGCAGAGGGTGGAGAAGGCTCGCTGGACGTTGCACTTGTTCAGTTAGCGGTGGCAGTGGCCACGGTCCGCATCACCGCTCATATCCCAACACATCTAGCAGCAGGGACATCCACTGTGACCTCTGCTGAGCAGTGCTCCAAATATTTAGTATAAAATGTATTTTTCTCCCATTTCCCATCTGTAAGAGTGACGCAGCCTGGAGAACCTGGTTTCCAGACATGCCAGGGTCTCCTTTTGGTGCCAGGCTTCCAGGTGAGCATGGCCACGGGACCCTAAGCCCAGCCCCGGTTGAAGGCTCTGGCAGCCCAGCCTGTGGGTCAGGTCAAGACCTTCTCTGAAGGTCTCTCTGCCACCCAGCAACTTGTGACTTGTGCGTTCCTCATCCACTCCATTCCCCTTCTTACCTTTCCAGCTCCAATCACCTTCTCGGCTGCATACACGGCTTGACCACAGCGAGGGCACCCATCGGCACCTCCGACTTTCTGGGCCATTCTGGATGCGTTAGGGTTGGTGGGTCGGTGGGGCTGGCCCCTGTGGATGAGAGGATGTCCATGATCAGGGCTGCACAAGCAAGATGGAGGAGGGAAGAGCTATGGGATCACAATCCCAGTTTTGAAGGGGATGGAGCTTTAGGCACAATGTGCTGAGCCCCAGGGAAACTTCAGCCTCACCGCTGCATGCTAGGAGGGGATGGGCAGCATGCTCAGGCAACGGGGACGTGTCCCGTCAAGCTCCATCCCACCCTGCAAATAGGGTTCAGTGGGTTTCCCCCGAGGAGCAGAAAGGCAGGGCAGCCCACGGCACTCTCCAGATTAGATACTGCTGGAAGTTCGGCATGGGCTCCACAGCCAAGCAGCACAAGCGGACAGATGTGGGGGAGAAGGTGCCCACAACAGCCCCAATTTCAAAACGAAGACTTAAACTCACTCTTCATATTTGATTCCCAGCGATTCGCCCTTGTCAGTGCTCAGGGTCCCTGCTCCCTGCCCATATCCATAGCCCTTGGGGCCGTACTTCTTGCCGTAGCAGGACTTGCAGTAGATCTCCTCGCCGTGCACAGCAACTGTGGTGCTGTCCAAGTTCTTCTTACAGACCACTAGAAAAGAGGGGAGGGCCGTGCCATTAGCCTGCTCATCCAGAGCTCACTAATTACTGGAAAAAACAAGTCCTCACAAGGGATAGTACAGCTGAGCTTTCAAGGAGTAAGGAAACCCTAGACAAGATCCTTGCTAAACAGAGCGCATGCAAAACAGCCCGAGATAAGGATCACAACAAGAACATTGTCTGGCTTTAAAAGGAAGGAACCACCAAAGCTATAAAGTTGACGCTAAGAAAAAGCTCCGTTAACCCTCCTGATGCTGGTATCCTGGAGATGCACTTAAAACCAGGGGTTTTTTACAAATCAGGATTCACAAGCACAGGGATGGAGGTCCCTGCCCCACTGCAGCTGCAGCTCTGCCACACTCCCAGTCTGCTGCAAATATGCAGCGATAGGCACTCAGGGGGAAATAATGTAAGCAAATATATTTTTCCTCATGTTTAGACAGACTAAAAGCAGACCTGCAGCCGCTACCGCAGCCGAAGCACTGTCAGTTTTTTGGCACATTATGATATCGTGCACGGATGGCTCTCCAGACGCCGAGACCACGATGGAAGAGTTCATGCTGACCTGTCACCCCCGGTCCATGCCATCATCAGGGTGTGTGCATAGGGTGCTCTCAGGTGAGGAACACGAACTCAGCTGGGTGTTCAAGCCTTGGGGATCAATATGGGATGTAAGATGGGACAGCAGGAGACCACAGCCAGGCACAGGGTCCCAGCTGAGACCACCCAGAGCTTGAGCTTGGTGTTGGGCTCAGGCCACGCAGACTTTTCTCCTGATTTTTAGGTTTTCCTGACTCCTGGCCCAGCTCTGATCTCAGCCTCCACGTCGGTTTCCAAACCCTTCCTGGAACACACCACCCAGCAAGCCGGAGCGGGAGGCGAGCAGCACCCAAACGGGCTCGCGGTGATCTCCAGTGTTTACCTGCCCCGGTGCAGGATCCAGATGCCTGGGGCAGAGTCCGCAGCACTGCCAGCCAGCCCCAAAACAGCTCCTGTTACGGCTGCAACACAGCCTTCCCCCATCCCACTTACATGCCTTAAATGTCAAGGCTCCCAGCAGCCGGTTGGCCTCTCCACCAGCAGAAATGTTCCTTGGCCTTTACCAATATCACAGGAATGCAAACAACAGCAGAGCTCGCGTCTCGGAGCAGCGCAAACGGCAGCGCTAAACACGGGGCCAAGAGAGAGCCTTCCTCAGCCCAATTACTAAATATGGTGCTTCTCCTCCGGGGCCGCAGAGAACCCCGTATGCCACTGCTGGGAGAAGGAGGTGGGAAGGGAAACGTCTCCTGCCATCTAAGGAGGATCTGGCAAGGTCCTCTCCTGGCTACGGGCTACCCCGTCCCACCACGGCAGGAGCTGGGGATGGAACAGGCATCTCTGTTGAGAAAGACCAGCCCTGGTTAACTGGTTCTGTGGCTGTCAAACTAAGAGGCTGGCGTTGGGGTTGTCTCTGCATTACCCTGGGGCTCATCAGGAGCAAGGCTGCATTCAGACAGACCCTCCAGGAGGGGAATTTGGGCACTTTTACCGGCACATTTAAAGAGCTTTGTGCTAGGGGTGGGAGTCAATGATCTCAAAGGCATCATCGGTCTTTCTCTCCCACCCTGCCGTGTGGATTTAGAGCTCTAACCTAAACTTTCACAGTCCCTCATCTGTACCAGCCACAGACACTTTGTGAGGCAGCAGAAAAATTCTTTCCTGGTCTGCTTCCTAGAAATCAACCCCCAACTCCTGGGTTTCTGCATTGCAGAAATTCCAGCGCACCACACTCCTCGAGTTAAGGACCCGTTGTTTTTCTAAGAGCAGAGGAGCTGCTCCACAAAACAATTAGACAAGAGCTGCTGCTGCTTTCAGAGGCCAAACGGTCTCATTACAGCACATTTCTGCCGTGTACTATTGACTCAGTTGGATCGATGCCACTGAGTCAATCACCAAGTCACTCCCTCAGCTGATCTCCAGTTCTAATGCACTGTGGTAGGTTTGGCTCCTTAGTAATTATTTTTTTTTTTGGCAGATCAGGTCAAAGTGCTTGTTTTTCTCCCCGAAAGATAATGGCTTCAAGTTCCCTGATGAGGCCCAAGCACAGCGCTGGGGAACGGGCTGGGAACGCAGGAGTTCGGTGCAGCTCAGCATCACCCGCAGCCTGCGGCACGGGACGGGGAACAGCAGGCAGCACTGGGGGCTGGCATGCAAGCCATGGTCCGGACTGGGGAGCCCACAGCTGGGATGGACAGAACTGCTGGGGTACGTGTGGAGTGTGATTACGTATGTCTGCACAGCACAGGGAGAGGAGGTCTGGCTGTAGTCAGCTCTGGACCACTCCCTGGTGACTTGCTTCCATGGGTAGACGTGGGATGACCTTCTTCCCCACTATGGTCGTGTATCCCCTTCCCAAAGCAATCCCTTTTGCCTGATTTGTTGGCTCCTGGAGGCTTGCCCCACGCTCTGGGTGCCAGCATCGCACAGCAAGAGCTTTCTGTAGCAATCCAGCTCTGTGTGTGTGTGCACAGGGGTTGCAGGAAAGGGCAGATGCCTAAGATGGGATCTTAGTCCCCACAGAATCACAGAATGCTTTGGGTTGGAAGGGACCTTTAAAGGTCATCTAGTCCAACCCCCCTGCCCATGAACAGGGACATCTTCAACCTGATCAGGTTGCTCAGAGCCCCCTCCAGTCTGTCCTTGAATGGTTCCAGGGATGGGGCAACAACCACTTCTCTGGGCAACCTGTGCCAGTGCCTCTCCACCCTCATCATGAAACATTTCTGTCTTATATCTAGTCTGAATCTACCTTCCTTTAGTTTGAAACCATTACCTCTTGTCCTGTCGCAACAGGCCTTACTAAAAAGGCTGTCCCTCCATACTGAGGTCCTCCACTGATACGGACTCAGACGGTAAAGGCCACTGGTGGGGGGGGATACGAGGGTAACATTCCCCACTCTCCTTATCCGAGGCTGCAGAAGAAACACGGCTTCCTGCTGCAGAGAGCTGCCGCAATAAGGACACAGCCTGCCAGCCCCTGCCCGCCCGGGGAAAGCCTCACCACAACTCCCCTTCTTAGTCCTCTTGAGCCAAAGCAAGGTTTCCAGCCTGGAAACTCCCACATACGAGAGCTATCGGCCACGCTGGCCACTCTTCACGCTGTGTAGGGAGCAGAGACGCGACAACAGCCTCTCTCTCTCACATCTGCATCCATCTGGGCATGCCGCATCCCAGGCAGGGTGGCCAAGAAGTACCCAGTATCCGTGCCAAGCGGACACAGGAGCAGGGCAGGGATCGGCCCCGCGAGGACACTGGTATTTCCCTGCTGGAATAGGTCTACTGAGATTAGTTCGAGCTGCGTGCCTGTTTATAGACTTTAGCTCTGCTTGTTGCCTGTATGGAAAAGATCACATCTGTGCTCCCTGCTGCAATGGGATGGTGAGACTGGGCACGGGGTACAGGGACCAGCTGAGAAAACGTTAAATCTCAGCGAGGCTCTGCTGTGAGGGCAGCTCTGAAGATGTACATCTACTCCTGCTGCTCTGTGTCAGATGCAGCACGTTGATGAGCCATCATCAGACACAGGCAACATACATGCTCCTGTTAGCACATGAGAATCCCTAGTTCTGTTATGTGATAGTCTTCAAGGGCAGGGGACAGAAATCAGGTAAAACACAGGCTGAGGACAGTGGTCATCCTTTTATTCAAAGGTCCTGCAGCCCCCCTGGATGTGGATGGCCCAGGTTTAAGGAGCTGCTCTCAGCACCGTAACACTGCTCGCCTCTCCCTGCACTGCTGCCCTGGTATCCCCAAAGGGAAGATGGGGGTCTGGGGACCTGCAGCGTGAACCCAAGACTACCTGTAGGATCCTACAGAGCAGGCAGAGGGTGGGATCTCTGCACTGAGTTAACCCGCAGCCAGATCCTGTTCTGCTGCCCTTCCCTGGAGGTGACGTTTGGGTCCAAACACACAACAGAGACACCTCCGCAATAGCAGATTTGCAGGCAGGCTGGAGGTGATGCTTTAGCACTTCACAGCAGGCCTTCATCAGCAGAAGGGCCAGCACAGGACCACATGTTCTTCCCATCATCTCCTGGGACATAAGGGCAGATCTCACACCAGTTCCAAAGGCCGATCTACTTTTTTAGTGTGGCAAAGCCACTTAGAAGACTAAAGGTAGCATCACCTCAGAGCATTGCATGGGATGTGCCACCTCCTGCCACCACTGTTTGGACAGTCCCTGTCTCATGCTCCAATCTTGAACATCTGGAGATAGTCTAGAGGACTCAGCCTAGCCTTTCCCTGGTGTAGGGACAGACTAAGTCTTTGCATGGGTGCTGGCTGAGGTCAGCCCTGACAGCTTGGATGGCCCCTGGTATCCTGGGATGATCTGTGTTCCTTCAACAGAACTAACTTCCAAGTCTGGAGAAAAACAGAAAGCCTGCCACACGGCTCCCACAGCCAGACAGTTTGTAGAGAAATTCTAATGAACGTTGACACGGCCCGTGTAAACAGGACATGACGGGGTGCCCAGCCGGCGGAGAGCCAGGAAGCGGGGCAGGAGGGGCGAGGGAAGGGCTGGTACTCACTGCACAAGAAGCAGGACTTGTGGAAGCTGCTGCCTTCACATTGCACCTCCTCGGCGAAGTACACTGCCTTCTGGCAGACACCACACTTCTTTCCTCCTCCCCAGTTTGGCATCCTGCAGAAAAAGCCCAGGAAGAAACAGTGTCAGGGCAGGAGGCAGGGATGGGGCAAAGCGAGGCAGCCAGGGCGGGCACCCACCAGCAGTGCTCCAGCCGCCCTTCCACATCTGCACATGCGGAGACCACCCACGGATGTTTGCTGTTTGCACAGATTCTCCGGGCTGATAATTAGCAGAATCAGCAGAACTCAGGATGCCCACAGGACCCATTGTAACAGCACCCAGCAGTATCAACTGGGGACCACTGGTCCTGCCAGCCAGGAGCAGCAGAAATCCCTCTGTCCTGGAAGTTGTGGGACCTCACTGCTCCTTTCTGTGCCAGGAAAAGGGAGGAAGTGGGACAATGATGGGAGACGGCACTTACAGAGGTACCCACGGCACCAGCACCTCGTTAGATCACAGCCCTGCTATGACCCCTCGACAGGGTAACGGAGCAACGGCCAGGGTGACTGATCCTTGGTGCTGGAGAGTGTACAGGTTGTCATCCCCGCTGGAAACAGTTTTCCTTCTCAAGCATCTCTTCCATTTCTGCCACCACAGGGCAGAGGTATAGTCAGGCTTGCCCAAAGAGCAGGAGCTGACCCCTGGTATCACCAAACAACGGGCTCTGGCACTGTGCCCCTCATAGCATCGTTAGCTCGTGCCCTGCCTGGCCAACCGCTCACAGGTTCCTCCTGTACTCGGGTACCTCAGTCTCCTCCAGGACTGCAGGTACGGTCACGGAGGCTGGGAAATCAGCAGCCCCAGGGACACAGGCTCACATGCAGGGCAAACACCTGAGCACCAATCTAAGCTACCATCCAGCTCCTTGGCTTCTCTTTCTCTCTCCTCTTTCCTGAAATGCATCTGATGAGACATGATCAAGGGGCCCTTTGATCTGCAAATTTGCTGATAACCCCAAAATACTGTCAGCAGCTAACACAAGTAGCAGACCTTGAACCCAGAGGGGCTTGATACTTTTGAAGACCCAGTCAAGATAAACCTCAAGACACTTGAGCAACAAAGTCCTAAAGGAGATTCTGAGGGAGGCAGGCTGGGTGAGTGTGGCCAAGAGGAGGCTAAGGAGGATCTAACAGCAATCTAGGGTTGCTACAAAGACAACAAAACAAAACACTTTTTGGTGGTGCCCAGTGACGTAAGAAAGGTCCATGGGCACAAGCTGCAGCTTGGGAGGTCTCCAGAGGCCTCTCTCCATCGACACTTCTGTAATTCTCCATCCTGCTCCCACATGGGGACAAGCAGCAGAAGTCACCCTCCCCGTTGCAGGCACAGCCGTATGCTTCCCGACTCCCGAAGAGCTAAAGCAGCAGGACAAGGTTCCCCAAAACAAACACTGCACTGTGTGCCACCCCACAGCATGCACTGCATCACAGGATGGCTGGGGTTGGAAGGGACCTCTGGAGATCATCTGGTCCAACCCCTCTGCCAAAGCAGGGTCACCTACAGCAGTTGCACAGGTTGGTGTCCAGGTGGGTTTGAATATCTCCAGAGAAGGAGACTCCACAGCCTCTCTGGGCAGCCTGTGCCAGGGCTCTGCCACCCTCAAAGTACAGAAGTTCTTCCTCATGTTCAGATGGAACTGCCTGAGTTTGTGTTTGTCCCCATTGCCCCTTCACCTGTCACTGGGCACCACTGAAAAGAGTCTGGCCCCATCCTCTTGACACCCACCCTTAAGGTATTTATGAGTATTGCTGAGATCTCCTCTCAGTCTGCTCTTCTCCAGGCTGAACAGACCCAGCTCTCTCAGCCTTTCCTCATCAGGGAGATGCTCCAGTTCCCTCATCATCGTCATTGCCCTCCGCTGGACTCTCTCCAGTAGTTCCTTGTCTGTCCTGAACTGGGGAGCCCAGAACCAGACACAGGATCTCATCACCTCCCTCAGTTCAGCTGCATGGCTATGAGGAAGGGGATCTGGTCCTGCCGGGGCACACTGCAGGCACAGCCTCTGAGCCCACTCCTTGCTGCAGCTCCGAATCCCTGGGTCACCTCGGGCAGCTGAAGCCCCATCTCTGGGTCTCCACTCCCTCACCCAACGGCTGGGCCGGCAGCATTGCCTTGCCTGGCAGGCAGTCGGGGAGATGGATGCTAAACACAACAGGACTTGGGGCTGTGCAAACATCACACGGAGCGATGGAAGAGGACGAAGCCCTGCAAACCCTCTGCTCACAGGCACAGCGAGATCCCTGTACCTTCCAGTATATCGGGAAGTCGAGTGCTTCCCTGTTTAGGAGTATTTTGTGCGGCGATAGAAGAGGGAAATTGATCCCACCCTGGTTATCACAGCAGGCAGGGTGCGGGTCAGGGCTGCACAGAGGCACCGGCCCCGCTCTGGTCCGGCTGCAGCTCCGGGGTGCCCAGGGGGTCTCCGTGCAGGACAGACAGAGCTGTGAAGGGTGCCGGGAGCTGGGGCTGGAGTGGCTGTGCTGGCTCCAGGGATCCGAGGAGCTGTGTTTGGGGTGTGACCGCAGCAGCGGGAAGTCTCTTTTCCGAACACCCTGCAGGCTGGGCTTCCCACCACTGCGCAGCCCATGCCAAATCCCTCCCTTCCAGCCTGGTCTTCCCAGTCCCAGCCTTTGGATTGCCTTAAATGGACACAAATTGTTTCTCTCCAGAGTCTGTTTTTTCCCTTTGCACCAGGAGGGCTCGACCTGGTTCAGGAGTTTCCTTGGAGGGCAGAAACATCCAGCAGCATCCCCTGCCAGCCCAGGCAGCGGAGATCGCCATGCCTGCTTGGCCTGGGAGCCCACTGGGCCCTTCTGCCCCCTCGTCAGGAATAACATGACACTGGCTACAATTTCTCTGGGTCTCCCATCCTCTTTCCAAACATGACAGACAGCAGACCCCACCTCTGGGACTCACCAGCCCTGATTTTGGTGGGCAGCTTCATGTAGGCAGCCCCTTGTACTCCTGCCCTCCCTCCCTGCTCCACAGCCAGGGCATCTGCAAGCACACTCAGGGACAAAATGCTTGGCATGGTTTGGAGCCAGATGCTCCCCTTTGCTTCCATGGCACATTTTTTTTCCCCTTTACAGCAGCAGCAAAGGAAGAGGCTCCGTTCGTCCCAAACAGCAAGGTTCATCTGCCCAACCGAGTCATCGGCAGTGGGGACACCTTCCTCTGAATTGCCTGTAAGTCCACGGGAGGAAAAAAGGTGCTTCGGGGTCCACAAAAGGAGTTCAAGCTCTTTTGCTACGCATTTTTCTCCATCCACCATGGGAAGGTTGCAGGTGCTTCCATGCAGTTTAAACAACGTCACGGTGACTTTGGCAGGACTCTCATCATGAAGAGCCTAGCAGCACCGATGCAGCCTCAGCAAAATCACATCCCAGCAAGACCTCCCAGCACACGCCAGGATGGATTTTCTGCAGGGAGAGACCATGAAAATGAGTTTGTCCTGGGGATACATGGGCCTGTGATAGCTCACAGCTGGGCACAGAGAAAGCCTGAGATAAGATTTAAGTTGCTGGGAGTTCCCTCTTAGTCCACAACATACACAGGCACATGTTGAGAGCCCAGCAGGCCACACGAGAGACCAAAAAGCAGTTTATGCTACAGGTCAGTACCAGCAGGGAAAAAAAAAAGCATAGGAGCATCCTGCTCACAGAGCCTGGGACCTGCACCAGCCGTCTCAGAAGCAAAATCCTTACAATAGCCATCCAGACAGACCCATCATCCCAATTCTCTACTTAACAACTACTTTAAGGTATGTCGGAGAGCTTGCAACCCTTTCAACATTTTATTCAGAGTACTTGGCACCGTGGAGCTGAGCCCCATATTCTGTCCAATTGCAACATGTACCGACCACAGCTGCACTTCTCCAAATCACTATTAGACCCATGCAGAATGAGGAACAGGAGATCACTGTCAAGCAGCCAAAGACCTCACTGACCATAGGCAAGAGACACACCCAGAGCTGCCAAAAACCAAGATTATTTTCCTCCCTCCTGCACCTCCACATCCCATGTACCACAACTTTACAGCAAACACAACCAGAGCCCTACAGACAGCATCCTCCGTGCCAAGCGTGGCTCAGCCCCGGGGCTGGTCCGACATCTGCTCTGGGTAAAGCAAGGAGCCTCCAAAAGCAAGATACCATCCTTTTATCAACAGCTGTATTGCTGGGAAGCGTAGACCTAAGCGAGGCTTGTGCAGAGCCACACAAGCCTGACGCTTGTTGGAGATTAATTTCAGTGTCTGATGTCCGACTTTGCAGCAGTACGCTTCACCGGGTCAAACATAAGCTACAGAGTCACCCCACGTTTCAGATGGGCTTGTGTCGCACCGGTTCAGGAGGCAGTCTAAGCTACACTAAACAACCAGGCATAAACCAGTATGGAACCAGTATGTCCTGGTGCTTTGGGATGTCATCTAAACCTTGGCTGTAAGGGGAGGCAGTGAGCAGATGAAGCCAAGCCATCAGGCAGTAGGAATACATGGTCACCCTCTCCTGAGAGTGGGTTGAAAGATCAGTGTGCTGATGAGGTGCTCTCCAACCGAAACGATTCTATGATTCTACGTCACTCACATCAAAGCCTACAACCACGGGTTTACCTGCCTGAGAGCAGCGGGTTTTTAGCTGTCAGAGCTAAAGCAGCACCCGCTGCCATGCAAACGCAGCTTCACCACTACGAGAGCAGTCGGAGCAGTGCAGGTTCTCCCTCTAATGAATTTATCTGCAGCCACCACCGTGTCAGCTCAACCATTTGAGCTTCTGCAATAGCTGGAAAACCTTTCCCATGCATATGCCCAGATGTTCGACTAAAATTCTACTGTAATTAATTGCAGAGCAATCACTTTGTGCTTGGAGGAGATCCCTGAGGAACAGGAGACTCATGCTGGTCCATGCAAAAGGTTGTGGTTTTTTTTTTTTTCCCCAATGAGAGTGTTAACACAAGTAGATGGCAGAAAAGCACCATCAGTGCTGCACAAATTTCACTCCTAATGATGTTCACGGCAGTTCACGCAGGATTATTACGTGGCCTGGCAGAGGGACAAGTCAAG